ATTTAAAATGGCGGCTTATGTGGCAAACCAGCCACCTCACACCGCTCTTGGGTAGACGGTGGAGGAGTTGTGGTCAAGTTTAACGGGAGATTATTCCGAGTGTCTTTGGTTGTCTGGTTATGCCTATGTGAATGACGGGAAGTTGGAGCCTAGAGCAAAGAAGTGTATCTTCTTAAGATATGCAGATGGTTCAAAAGCTATATACTTTGGGACCCTAGCACATCAAGAATCGTCACTAGCCGAGATGTTACCTTCAATGAGTCCGTATTTTTCTTCAAAAGGGTGATACTTCTTCTTTTGAGCTTATCGGGAAGGACGTGAAGAAAATTGACAATATTGACACTCATGAAAAGGTTGATGAAGTTCTTGATGATGATGGTGGTGGTGTAGAGACACCACAAAGAGGCGGAGATATTCCTTATATTTCCTCCACCAGGAAGGCCACCACTTCTAGGAAGGAACAACCTTCCCATTAAGTGCGAAAATCAAGTTTTGCACAAGGACGGGCTAAGAGGCCTATAAAGCCTCCAGTCTAGTCTGGTTCGGTTTTGAAGAGATGACAGCCTATGCTTTGAATGTTGTTAGTGATGTGGTCGATCTTGAACCTTCTTCATATACCAAAGCAATGGAGTGTGCTGACTCCAAGGTGGCAATTGGCCATGGAAGAAGAGATGGAGTCTCTTCACAAAAATCAAATATGGGAGCTTGTAGATAAACCGCGGGGCAAGAAAATTATTGAATGCAAATGGGTCTAAAAGTTTCATTTCTCACCGGTGGTAAGGCACAATTCTTTTCGTTCACTATTTGCTCTTGTTGCCATGCATGGTTCGGAATTGGAGTAATTAGATGTGAAAACCGCTTTCTTACATGAAGAGCTTGAGGAGGAAATTTACATGCGACAACCGAATGGTTTTGTTGTTGAGGGCAAGGGGGAGCATGTATGCGTGTTAAAGAAGTCTTTGTATGGTTTAAAGCAATCACCTCGTCAATGGTCCAAATGGTGTGACCAATGTGTGTTGGGGCATGGTTTCTCCCGAAGTGACTATGATAATTGTGTATACTTGAAGAAGGCGAGTGATGGCTCTTTGTTGTATCTTTTGCTATATGTTAATGACATGCTTTTTGCGACAAGATATGTTTGAGAAGGCGGAATTTAAAATGAAGGATTTGGGGCTAACAAAGAAAATTCTCGGCATGGAGATCATAAGAAATTGTGAGACACGAAGGTTGTACTTATCCCAAGAAAAGTACACTGAAAGGTCTTGGAAAGATTTCATATGATGGATGCTAAACTTGTTTCCGTTCCTTTGGTTGTTATTAGCTATGTTGTTTTTTTACACCCTTGTAAAGGGTGGTTACACCTCTTGAAGGTGGTTACATCTTTGTTAAAGATGGTGTTGGCATCCCTTGTGTTCGGATGGTTGTTATGGTTAACTTAACTTGATCGATTATCTTGTCAAGGTGGAGAATTGATGGAATATTACTCGAGAATCATTTGAGGTTTGGCAAATAAGCTAAAGGATGAACTACTTTTGTTAAGCAAGGAAGAATTGAATGGGTCAACTTCAACCAGGCATATCTCTCAAACTACTTTAAATTTTGAGATGATTTAAGTTGGAAGTGAAAGCTTGTTTCAAGAGTTTCCAACGATAGGTCATAAGCTTAATATTCCGATGGAAATGAGGAAGTTATAGCTGTTTTACCATGAGCTGTTTGTGCTGACCCAAACAGGGGTTGACGTCCGTGCAGCTAGAGGTCCAGATGACCCAGTAGCTACTAGATTGATTTATCTAGGCTAGCACGTCCGTGCTAACTTGATACTCTAACTCGATATGTCGGGGGTATAAACATCCATTTGGGTTATTTTGTTATTCATCCACAAATTGAGAGAAACACATTGAGAGCTAGGGTTCTTGTTCTTGAAACCTTTGTGTTTTAGAGTGGAAATTAGTGAGAGATTACTCTTGCAAACACTAATTGGAATCAATACAACTATTCTCCTTGCTTTGGGTAATTGGGTGGGTTTTATAGTCTTCAAGTATCTGCTTGAAGAATTTTCCACCTTCTAACTTTAATTATGAACCATTTGTTCTAACAGTTTCTAATGCCACTAATTTGGTGCTGCAACTGTTTTCTGTATAATGCTTTCTCACGCTTTCGAGCTTCATGAAAGTCACACTAAGACCTTTGCCACATGATAAATTTCAAGACTAGGCTCTGACTGCCTTAAATCTGCAGGACTGGGTCCAAAAATAACCCAACGCCTATTGTAATCTTGTTCCATAAACTTCCTTTCAGCCCAAAAATTTGTTTGTTTGAATTTTGGAATGCACACCAAAACCAGTTTTGACCCAAACTGTCTTGATTGGGTCCTTATAAGTTCCATTTGATGTGTATGATCACAATTCACAAATGCCTTGTTGAGGATTTTTTGATTTTTCATCAGAACTCTTTTTTGATTATGTGTCGCTGTTAAATTCTTTGAGATAGTTTTGTGTATTTGGCTATCATGGTTTTGAAGTTTCCCTTCATGTAGCTTATGCTGCACAACCTGTAAAGTTTTAAAGTGGGATTCCTTACAACTATATTTGCCATGTGTTTTCTTCTCAAGAGCTGGAGTATTGTGATGAAAATGTCCATGGCTCAATTCTTTGGCAAATTGTGGCTGATGGTTCTTTCGCGAGCTGATCTTTCTTTATTACTGCAGAAAACTGTCATATTGATTACTCATGTGTTGACTGTTTACAGGTCACGTCTAAGAAAAGACGCTCTCGGGGTGTTTCTGTAGGAGTTGGTCAGAGTCAATCAAGTTAGGGGACTCAGACTTCAGATTTGCCCTTTGCGTGGGGCTAGCTGTTATCCAAATACTTTCAGTTGTGCATCAGGCTTCAGGTGTGAAAATTTGCTTCTGCTGTTATGAACTCTGTATGACATGAAATGGTTTCAAGAAGAAGGAAAGCACTTGACTAGCCCTAGGGTTTCACTGAAGTTACTTTTGAGAAATAATCTAGATTAATCTTTGTCATTCCCATGTCCAGGGCCATGGATAACTCCGAATAAAACACTGAGGGTTTGCAAGCTTCCCACTTTAAATGTTTTTAGTATAATTTACTTGACACTCGAATCTGTACGTGTATAGTATTTCACTTATGTGTATATATTTTCAGTAGAAATCCCCAAATATCTGGTTTTTTTTCCTTAACTTCCTTTTGCTTCTTTGGTAATGGAAGAAGTATGTGCTGTTTTTAGACATTTAAGCCCTGAATTTTTAGGATTCCCACTCTTTGGTGTCTGGAATTTTCCTGCAAATGATACAAGCAACTCGGTGCTAGCTCTCCCTCTTGGTTATTAAGCAGAGTGTTTATATTACTACTAGTCCATATATTGTAATAGGTTTTAAGTTTCAGTATTCATATACTTTTATCATATTTGTTTATTTACTTGTATACTCCCTCCGTTTTTAAATATTTGCTCCACTTTTCCTTTTCGGCCGTTATAATTACTTGTTCCATTTCCTAATTTAAAAAGTTTTTATAATATTTAATTTATTTCTCTTAACTAGTGAATCCAACATAGATAATATTTTATTAATTTCATATTCTCTCTCCTCCAATTCTCTTAACTACTTTTGCTTTTTACAATTTTTTTATTCTTTCACCTACTCCCACTACCTCCATATTTTATTATTTTCTCCAATTTCTCTCAAAATTACGTGCATGGAGAAATGAAGCAAGTATTTAAAAATAGAGGAAGTATAAAACAAGGTTTTCATATTGTAAAATGTTTTATTCAGTGAATCTTTATATAATTTATTTATATACAAATCAATAACTAATTTAGTTACTGATTAAAATTTTGTGACAATATTTTGTGACCATCATGAAAATAAAACTCTTGTTTGGAGACTTGCCATAAGCCAAGTGTGCAATCAGGTGAGGCATATTAAAAATTTTACCCCTTCCATCCCAAATTGATTTTTACTCATAGCACATACTTTTTGATGATAAGTGGTTTATACCTTGTTTATCAATTACTCCCTTTGTCCTACAAAATTTTTTAATTCCTTTTGGCTTTTTGGGCACATAGTTTTAAAACTTGTTTAGATTTATCTTCTTGATAAACAAATGTTGTTTACTAAGCAGTAAAGTTGTAATACTTTTGGTAAAACTGGAAAAAGTTGTTTACAATAGCAATCTTATCCTAAAATACCGTCTACTAATCTACTATAGTCTTAGTGGTGTTACCTATAAACAATGCAAAATTATGTCAATTAAATTAGAACTTTGCCACTTGGTAAACAACGTGTTTTCTCCATAGTTTTGTTAGAGTGTTGGTGGTGTGGGGTTTTGTTACTTTGGCTGAATAGAAGACCCAAATTAGGGAAGAAATGGAAAGTTTTAGTAGAATATGTTTTGAGAGAAGAATTGAGTACTTTTTAGAACCAAACAAGTCATTTCGCTAAATAAAAACTGTATAATGAGTTTATATACTTTGTATCTCATAAGAAAATTTACATTTCTATTCTAAATCTTATACAGAGTAATACTCTCTCCGTTTATTAAGTGTGATACTTTGACATAATACTCTCTATCTTATTTTGTAAGAGATAAAGTGGGGAAGTTGGGGTGTTGAAAAATTTATAAAATAATATAGTGGAGTTATTAAGTTCTTCGTAAGAGATGTGTGAAAGAAAGAAATAATAAAAAAGAGTAATACGGGTTTGGGTGATGATTATGATTTATGAGAAGGGAGAGAAATGATATTAAAATATGTTATTTTTATCAAAAAATAAAAAGGAAGTATGTTATTATCATCCTTTTTTTTTTGATAGAATATGTTATTATCATCCTATCCATAATTAATTCAATAACTGAAATGATTAAAATAAAATAAATTTAGAAATATCTCATGCTCATGTCAAAAAAAAAAAAAAAAAAAAAAAAAAAAATCTGATGCATAACATAAATACAATATAGTAGGTAATATTTATAAAAATGAATGTGTGGTAATGAGTACATGAATCTAGCATATTCTAATCTTAACAAACCAATCTAATAGTACGAGTATTTGGGTTATTATGAAGCGTTGATTAATTCAAACAGAATGTATAGCAAATTACACGGGTGCCCTTGAGCAAACAGAGTCATTATAATTTCAGTGCATATATTTTTTTTCTTTTGACGGAAAGTGTATATTTTAAATTTATATTTTGATATGAAGATATACATAGGTTAGATACTATAAATTTAGGGTTCATGCTAATAAATACGAGTAAATATATACGTAGTATTAAAAAAAAAGGTTTAGTAAAAAAAAAAAAAAAAAAAAAAAGGTTGTCATTTGAATTGAGAATTGTTTGGTTTATACATCTCCTCTTGTTCTACAGATTACAGTTGGTTGGGTAAGTAGTAAGTAGTCGTACTCATTTTTCTTTATTTTATTATTTTAATGTGATTGCTATTTCTGGTTTTCTTTCATCTGGGCATGCTACTGTTGGCATCATTCAATGTATTTGTTTAATAAATGATGTAATAATCAGAACAGAATCTGTTACGGAGTAATAATAATTATTATTATTCGTTTAAATCTATTGTCTTTTTGTTTATATAGCTATACATTTGTACGTATTGACGGTTTGTATTTGATTAATTTGAAGCTTAAATAAAAATTGTGCAAATGATGAAACTGGAGTTATTGGAGTGCAAAGTGAATGCTATGATATATTATGAAAAATGGAGTATTGTTTTGAATCTTATTCAAAACCTAGATAACAAATGATTGTGCGCAGTATATAGATAGTTGATCTGAGGAAGAATGGTTGGTCAAGGAGGAAACCAGTATCCAGCCCCTCTTGCCAAGTATGAGGATGTTGTTTCCAATCGTCAACTTTTTATGACCACTCTCGAGAGCCTTCACGCAGCTATGGCCACTAAATTCATGTAATCCCATCATCATCATCTACTGTACTACTCTTATTGCATTGCTTACAGCCTTATACCCTCAGCTTACCTTATTACAGGATTCCCGTCATTGGCGGCCGTGATCTTGATCTTCACAAGCTTTTTGTCGAGGTTACTTCTCGTGGTGGTATTGAAAAGGTTAACTACTTTACATTCACTGTCAGACTTCCCCCCTGTTATCTAACTTCCTGCTAGCTTCTTCGAATTCATGTTCCATCAGTATGGTCAGTAGCTAAATACATTTGTTGATGTCTGCAGATACTCTCAGAAAAAAGATGGAAAGATGTTACAGCCACTTTCAATTTCCCTTCTACGGCCACAAATGCTTCTTTTGTGCTGCGCAAATACTACTATTCATTGCTTCAACACTATGAGCGAATCTACTACTTCAATGCCTGCGATTATTCTCCTGGTACTGCCCTCACTCTATGCATGCCTGCTTTTGTATGTAGTCTGTAGCTTTTACTGTGCTGATTTTGTTTTTACAGGTGTCCTGCAGAGTCTGAATCCTGCACCTTCTGCAGTCCATGGATTGTCTGAAATGTCTGCAGCACCCACAGCAGCTCAGCCTGCAAATTTACATCAGAACCAGATAAACACTACAGAGTCTATGTCTCAAGGTCTGCTTCATTTCTATGTAGAACGACCATTGTTTGACTTGTGCTTTTCATCACTCATATGGTTCACACAAACAAATGCCTACTTAGTATCTCTGGCTGGGTCTTATCTTTGCCTTGCTAAGAGGAACAGGCTATGTGTCCTTCATTGGTTTTGTCTGTATTTTTTGTAGGGCCTTAGGAAAATGGTCTAGCAAACCATTTTTGTAGTATATGTTAGCAGAAACAAATACTAACGTGCTAGAGGGCTAACTAAATGTTTGATACTTGAATGTTGGAACATCACCAAAAGCAATTAGTTCAAAGGCATAATATAACATAATCTGTACTAGATAATTGAAGATGACAGAAAAGAATATCTTACAAATTAAGCTTTTTCAGGGTATTAGTAAACCATCCATTAAATGTGTGTTTAAAATAACCATCTATATGATACAGTAGTATTGATATATTTACATAAGCTAAGCATGCAAAGAGCTAGTTGTTACAGAAAGAAACTAAATTGCTTTTACAAAGCTCACAACAGATGGGCTATTTTCACATATATGCAATTAACCTTGATGATGAGACGCCACTGGAGATGTTTTGGCAACCATCTGATATTATAGATATTCAAACCTCATTTACTAATACAAATAGGCGTGTGCTTTGTAAAAGAAATATGAAGTTAAGTGTTCACTAGCCAAGAATCCCGTCCTATTGTTAGCAAACTTTAAAGGAGTTCCAACTTTGTTCTGGTATGATGTATTGCAGTATTTTAACATTCATTTTCCTTTCACCAGCAGCACCATCTGGGGGGTATCCTATCATTGGAGTGATAGATGGAAAGTTTGAAAGTGGGTATCTAGTTACTGTCACAATTGGGAAGGATAAATTAAAAGGGGTTCTCTACCAGACTCCACCAGCTAAAGTTAATCAAGCGCCACAAACATCTGGTATCGCAACTGGCAAAACTGACAACACTCCTGCAACATCAGGTGTTCCTCGTAGGAGGAGGAGGAGGAGGAAGAAGTCTGAGATAAGAAAGAGAGATCCTACTCACCCTAAGCCCAATAGAAGTGGTTACAACTTCTTCTTTGCTGAGCAACATGCCAGATTGAAGCCACTTCACCCAGGCAAGGACCGGGAGATTAGTAGGATGATTGGTGAACTCTGGAACAAATTAAAGGACAGTGAAAAGGCTGTAAGAATTGCAAATTTGAATGGTTTTTTTGGTTCTTTAGTATCATGTGAAAGATTGTTTTTAAGTTTTAACCATATTCTTACCAGCTGAATTATTGTGTCTCAGGTGTATCAAGAAAAAGCAATTAAGGACAAAGAGAGATACAGGACAGAAATGGAAGATTATAAAGAGAGACTAAGAACAAATCAGGTGATAAGCGGTGCAATACCAATACAGCAGCGGTTTCCTGATTTGGGTTTGGAGATGGAAGAAGTGGATGTGAAAGATGGGACAGAAAGAGATACCCAAGGATCACCTGAAAAAGAAAGTGATTCTAGCAAGAGTGATACTAATGAAGAAGAAGAGGAGGAAGAATCAGCAGAAGAAGAGGATGAAGATGAAGATGAAGATGAAGGTGATGATGATGACAAGATCATGGAGAAGGAGGATGAGGATTATTCTGATGCAGAAACTTCTCCAGTAGTAGGTGGTACTACTGTTGAATCAGGCAATGCAGGTACTTCTGAAACAGCAGCAGCAGCAGCAACAGCAGGGGATTTTCAAGTAGTTAAGGGAGAGGAGAAAGCAGGTTGTGAAGAAAGTGAAGGGAGCTTGAGTGCTGGTAGTCAATTTCATGGGGAGACAAAGCAAGAATCATCACCTAATGCTGAACAAGAGAATTCCATTATTGCTCCTGCTGTGACATAGTTAAGGCCAACTTCCAGGTTCACCCCTTTGTGCTGATTTTTGTAAATTTTTGATGCTCAAATATTGGGATGCACAAGTATGTGAGACTGATCTTGCTTATTTAGACTATTAAGCATCTCAGGAAGGCAGTTTTGCAGTGAAAGGTTACACAATAGGAACTGATTACACGTCATAGCCTGTAGTCCAGTTTAACATTTTTTCTTTGCTGCTTTGTTTTATGCTTAAATATTGCTACATGCTAATCAGTCAAAAAATCTCTCAGTTTTTTTTTTTTTTTTTTTTTTTTTCCCACAAACTTCTTACAAGCCTATTGTCCTTTGGTTCTACATACAGCACAAAGATTGTATTAACTAATTGAAAACCAAAGTAAAGTTATCGTTAAGAATGATGAATGCTGACATTCATTGAGCTAATTATTCTCTATAACCTTAAAGTTTTACTTGAAGCGGAAAGGGTTGGTTGTGTGAAACAAGTAATATGGAATTATGGATTATGGACTATAGAGTTTCAGGTAAACTACGTAGCTTGTTTAGTAGGACAAGTGAAGATGACAAATTTTATATATATATCCTCTTGGGTATGGGCTTAATGAAGCAGATGGTTTCCTTAACTTTTACCCTACTCCTTTTGGTGGAAAATTTCATCATCAACTCCTAAGACTGATTGTAAAACATTACACCCAAAATTTAAGAATGATCTGCAATTTGATTTGAGTGGCCAACTGTTTGTTGTTCGAAGGATCAATCTCTGTTTTTCTGGGAAAAAAATAGCTTGCTAACATGAGTAAAACCGATAAGGAGCTTTAAACAGAAGCTAGGAAATCAAGGTAAGTTTAGGTCAAGAGAGTTGCGTTCCCACTTTAAATTAGGAGTTGCTTCCAAAGAAGTGCAAAGTTGTTTTGAAATTAGTGCGGTCCCTCCCTGACTCCACAACTTTGTTTTGCTGTAAACCTGAAAGCAATCTAACATTATAAACTCACTCAACTTCACATATATTTGATTGACATTATTACTGTGATTTTGCATTGCATGCATGACATCAGATCAATATCAATTGGTGGGATGGCATTTCTAACTCAATTTCTCTCATCTTCAAAGTCCTTGGTGTCAAGGACAAAGTACAGTAAGGTATCCATGGCTAAGCAAAGGATGCTTAATGAGTTATGCAAATCATCAACAGATGAGAATGTGAGTCATTGCTGCTATGGTCCAGTTGATATTCATGATCCTTTCCGCCTCCAAGCTATCATCATTGGCCCTTCTGATACTCCATTTGATGGCGGTATCTTCTTCCTCACTATCCGTATTCCACATGATTATCCCTTCAAACCTCCCAAAATTAAGTTCCGAACTAAGGTCATAATGTAGTCTTTATTTTTGCAATTCTCTTTTTAGGATAAGTTGCTTTAAAATTTAGCTTCATCATTCATGATCTGTAGAAATTTAGTTAATGTTCGTACTCCTAGCTTGGCTCGTAAGTAACTGCTTGTTATGTATACCTGAGCTTAGTATGTAGCTAGAAGAATCAAGTATGAAGTGGGGTTAATATAAATTGTGTAGGTATTCCACCCGAATGTAGGAAGTGATGGAACAATCCATGTAGACATACTGAGTAATACTTGGACGCCAGCTCTGACAATAGAGAAATTGTTGCTGTCAATATGCTCTTTTCTTCCAGACCCAAATCATAAAAAAGACTCTTGCAGTTCAGTGTGTGATCTCTACTGGAATCACAGGAAGCGTTATAACAAGATTGCCAGGGAATGGACCCACAAATATGCCATGATCTGACTAATGTACTAGCCTTCAATCAATTGATTCTGGTATGGTACTACTAAAATAATACTGGTTTCTGTCAAGAAACAGAGTCTCCAAGCGTAAGTTTCGGGCAATTTTATATGGATTACTAATTGTATTAGAATGCTGAGGACTTCCTATGTATGACAGGTAATACCGGAATATAACTATCTATACGCAACCAGTAACTGCTCTATACTAGTTGAACTTATTGTTAGCACTTAGCAGTTGGGTGCTATACAGTACATATTGTCTAATTTGTTGGTCGAACACATAAGATGTATACATCCTTGCTCTGTCTTAATTAAAAGGAACCAATTAGTATTAAGTGATTGAAGTAAGCTGTATCCAGTTATGTAGTTTTTCCTATGATCAATAGAATTCATACATACGGTATGTGTTTTTTTTTTTTATTTGGTTGACATCCAAATTAAATATAAAAAAATAGAACATTAGGCAAGTTTTCATTCATGAGTTGGCATGAAACATACAAGAATTATAACCAACAAGTACCCATCAGTTGATTGTCAACTTTTTTAAAGTTTGAAGTGATCATGATCTTCTAATTTCATTCACTCAATTGACATTTATAAGAGGGACAGAGTCATATTTGCTAAATGATAGGTCCGAATCTAGAGCGAATGTGACTTCAAATCATACATCATCAGATAGATGGAGATTGTTGAAAATTTCAGAATAAGTAGAAATACATAAGACATACTCCCTTGCTTAATAGTTAAGATCTATATTCATAAAACTGTCTCTTGGGTTGTTATCTAAGCAGCTTGTATAGTATAATGGACTGTTGATGTTAGTCAACGATGAGATAGGTGAACAAATCTGGAATAGGACTTGGTACATACTCCATATCAACATTGAGTAGTTATCAGAGAATCAAGTCATATTAACAATTAATATAGCATCAGGAAAAGGTGGATAGTCAACATCATAGTTTTAATTTCATGACACGAGATTGCTTTTGCTTAGGCTACAACGTTTACTACTATACCTTATAATAGTAGCTACAGGTCGAATATGCTTCATGCTATATAAGTTAATACGGTATTATATATGCTGTCTTTCTCACGTCTTCATCTTGATTTAAGTATATTATATCTTATAGTATAAAACAGGCACCTAAATGCAACAGATTAGATCAGATGGTTTCAATGCTTGGAATTGGTTTTCCAATTGCATGCATCTATACAATTGTGCAGGCATTATATCCTCGGTAGGTAATGTATTGCATAAAACCTTCACATGGCGCCATAGAGTAACTATAATACTACTTGATTGATCTGAGAGTCAGTATAATCTGATTAGTTATATTAATTAAGAGGAGCAGAGATACGTATATATTTATACAAAATATAGCTATCCTTGATCAGAGTTATTCTTCAATCTTCATTTAATATTTTTATGGAAGATTTGATGAAAGAAGGAAGAGTAGCAGCGCATGCATGTTTCATTTTCCACAATGGAAAAAACCTGTGAAAAAACGGTTTTTGACTTGATCAGTTGATCGGTGCATGGGCCATGCTATTGAAAGTCCCCACACCTCACCAACACTTGAAATTAGCTTCATCATATCATATCATATCATATCATATCATATGTCTCAACATTCCCCTCCATCTTTTAACTCTAGTACAAACAAACAAACAAACTGTATTAACAGAATACCCCCTCATCCAATTCCATACCTCCACACAAACTACTCTTTCCCATCTCACTTCACTTCTACCTTCCTCTGATCCTCCTGCATTTATTCTCACAACCGCAACTCGATTTTTACAAAACAGCGCAACCCATCCAATTAATTGTTAGTTACATACAATTATATATATAAAAATATCATATCATCAAACATATTAAAAAAGGAACTGATCGATATGATTGAGTTTTAGAATAATAATCATATTATGCTACAAATCGAATGAGTTTGTCATATGTGGAAACCACCTGTCTGACTATCACAGATGAGCTGAAAACAATTTTTTTCTGTAACAAAAAATATAATGAAGCACTAAAAATTAAGAGTTCATGTAGTATCAGAAATCAAAAGAGCATCCCAGATGGAATCCATATCCAAGGACGGCATTTTACTTAACTGGACACCGTGTGTATCAACACTATGGTCACATGAAGCTTCATGGCTTCTCATCATTTTGTTACTATCAATCATCTCAGATGTTCCTAATACTCTACCATCCAACTCGAATTGCCACTCTTTCCTCACTGAAAGTTGGCCAGCTGTTCTGCTGCTACTTATTGAATTTGGATCAGCCAAGTTATTCATTAGCAAGGATGACGCTGGAAGAAGATCAACAGATTTCTTTAGTCCACCTTGCTGGGATATTGCTTGTATCTTTGCTTCAAGAAGTGCAGCAGTTTCTCCATTTAAGGAGTTCGCCTTAAGCAGATGCTTCTGATCCGGAAAATTCAGATGTGCATATTCTCCCCTCAGCATATAAGCTGCAGTATCATAAGCAAAAGCAGCCTCCTCGGCTGTGTCAAAAGTCCCCAGCCACACCCTTGCCCTGTTTCTAGGTAATCTGATCTCTGCCACCCACTTTCCCCAGTGCCTCTGCCTTACTCCTCTATACAACTTCCCTGATGTTGTTGATGATGATGATGAGCTCTTGTGAGGGTGGAGCAAGGCCTGCAGCCTTCTCCCGGTGGACTTCTTCATTGCCTGTGTCTTGGTAGGACTGAGCCTAAACTCAGTACTGACTACATTTGATGAGAAATCCTCGCTCATTCTCAGCCATCGATTATGTCCAGCAGGTAGGTATTGACTTTGGCCACACTGTAGCAAGGGATCAGACAATAAAGCATCTTGGGAGCTACTTCCAACTGTTTCCACCCTGCTGAGTGAGGGGTCCATAATCTTAGCTTCCTTTGAAAACAAGGTTAAATCAGAAAGGTTAATATGGGCTGCAGAAACAGAATGAGATGGTTCAGATGATGTTTGAGGAAGTCTGGACTGAGTCAGCTTATCTGCAGATGCAGAAGACTTGAAGAAATTGACAAAAGTAGAAGCTCTCGGAAATGTAAAATCAAGGGCAGAGCCTTGTTGGGTGAAAGTAGTAGTAGTTTTATTGTTATGTTCAGGGATCATATATTGTCTTGACAAATCAGAAGTTGATGAAGAAGGCTCAAGAAGACGGGTAGAAGTTAGTCTATCAAAAAAGGGTAACGATCTGAATTCAATTCTACCATCATCGGATCCATTATTATGATCATGAAAACTATCATCCCACAGATGAGTATTACTAAAAGACTTTGATACATCTTCAACAGGAAAGTGAGGTGGCATCTTTCGCTGCTGCATGAAGGTTTCCAACTCGGAACAATGATCCTCCATACAGCAAGAAGTATTTGTTGTTTTGTTGTTGAAGGAGGAGAAGAGGAGGAGTGAAATTGTTCTCTAAGAAAAAATTGAAAGACAGACAAAGAAAAAGAGAGAATAAAGGGAAGGGAGGCAAGTATGCTATATATTACTAAAAAAGAAAATGCAATCAGCCTAAAAAGCACTTCTCATAAGACAAGAATCAGTTGAGAATAATTATAAAAATTCAGAGAACCTACTTTTTTGTATACACGTAGAAAAGAGCCCGGTTTATATATGAGCCAGATCTATGAATTGAAAAAGCTTCATCATCATCAACCTTGCAAACGTAGTGTTGGACGAAGTCGTACGTGCCAGCCATATTCAATGTCCCTATCTACAACCAATAAGGAGGTGACAACTCATTTCTTAATAGCTTACTTGTCCTAGCATGTTAAGCTGATGGCTGCATATTCTTTCTTGAAAGCGACTGAAACAACCTCAAACCCATTTATATTACATTATACATAAATATTTATATAAATTTACAATATCAATTCCATGGCTAAATATACAAGTATATATTAATTTCCCTTTTTGCTCCAAAGTTTATACTCCATTCATCAAGCATTAGCTACCATGTGAGTTATTCCAAACATCCACATGTGATCTCACTACATACATACACTTTTTAATTTTTGCTTTTCATCAATTATGTTGCTGTTTTGCTCTTTTATTATCAATAAGCGAAAGAGCTTTTTTACATCTTAATCAATAATAATTATAGTACAACATTAAGCATCCAAAAAGCTCATTAATTTACTTGTCCAAAGTTTCCAGGGCACTTTTAGTTAGCTGATTAGTTTTTTGATGTCTTCGTTCCCCCACCAAATTCGCGGGTCTTAAAAATGACACCCTGCCAATAATAGCTCGCTCCTGCATAACAGCTAAAAGTATCATATAAATATAGCAAGTCATACAATTGTAAAGAGCAGACATAATTTTATAAGTAATCAGTTATCAAAAAAAAAAATGAATTAGACCTTATGAGGATGCAAAACAAAGAGGATTTGTTAATATTATCACTCAAAACCATCATTAGCTTTGGACTCATTATATAATATATAGGAAACTAAGGAATTTTGCTCTACAAGCATGACCAAATCATTGCAGATGCCAATACTTAATTATTTGCTTACCCTTAATAGCCTCAATTAAGACATTATGTTATTCCTTAATTAGCCTGTCCTTCTGGCACTCTGCCTCTTGAGATGGGTGGTGAGACAATCTGGACCTCTCTAACTAAGATAATCTAGAATAACAAAGGTGGAAAGTTAGGTTAAAAACCCACAGCACGACGTTTCCTAATTTGGTCCCAATCCCATAATCATCCTAATAATCATTGGAATTTGCATACACGACGACACATCCATCTCGAGTTTGCAGTAAATAGTAATTAAGCCACCTCTTTCCTTCCGCCACAAACTTATTTCTTAAGTCTAATCCCCTGATCTGCCTTGGTGCTTATACTATATATCGGAATTGGTAGTCAGGTTGATATAATAGTACGTGTTATATATATTTGACAGATATACAAGTGATTCATCAACCAACAACAGTATAATTTAATTAATCTGCTCTATTTCACATGCATCAAAGCAAGCTATCTATAATGCTCATGACTGTCTAGATCGGGATCGAATGAATGAACTAGATTACAGGGGCAAAACACTAAATTAATGACTCCAACTCTAACCTCCACACATCTAGAAGAGTGAAGCATATAGTGCTCAAGAGAATCTGGTAAAAACAAGAAAGTTCAAGTCTGATATTGGTTACGTGCGTGAATATGCAATGCATGCATTATGTAACAGTCTTGTAAATGAGGACAGTACATACTACACAATATAACAATACATTTTGAGGTTAGAAATTTAACCATTTTTTTTTCAATACTGTAGTTGGTTGCTGACTTACTGTGTTATTGTATTATATTACGCTGCACATGGACATGATTAATTAATAATAAGCCGGGGATTTAATTTGTATTATTTAAATTTCCCCTTAATTAGTTTGTTTTGCATTTTTCTTGAATCTTGATTAAGACTTCAGAAACGTATGGACAAATTAATTATTCCTCTGTATTGCTTTGAATTGCCTTCGTATCTCCTTTCCTTAAACATATAACTAAACTGCTAAATTTTACATTTTTTTTAAGGTGAAGACTTAACTGCTAACATTAATTAAAATGCATGGTTCTTCACCAATCAATGTATTGTACGTGTGTAACAAGCGTGTTTAATTATATATGCATACTCCCTTTGTTTTCGCACGTCTTTATAGCCCGTTTGTTAGATACTATGTATTTTATATTGTGGAAATTAATTTTAAAGTTGTGTGTAGCTTTGTTAAGGTTATGTTTCTTTAATTAATACAAGTATAATACTAACATTACTTTCTTTTAGACCTGGCAATCTTGACCCAGACCCGACCCGAATGATCCGACCCATAACCCGAAAACAGTGACCCGAAATTGACCTGAAACCCGAAATCAACCCGACCCGACCCATACCTGACCCGAAGTGGAATTGAAACGACCTTGACCCGAAACCCGAAATGACTCGACCTGAAACGACCCGACCCGAAATGACCCGACCCGAAGTTGACCCGAGAACCGAAGTGACCCGAGACCGAAGTTTTCCTGACCCGAAGTTGACCCGATACTCAAAGTGACCCGACCTTTAACTTGAATTAATTGACCCAAATAGACTCGAAACCCAAAGTGACCCGAACTAAAATTACTTTATACCTGAAATGACCAGAATCTATTTAAGCTAACGATTTGACCTGAGCAAACTAAAATAGAAAATAACCGCAATCAAACTAACTTAATTTTTTTTTATTTAATTTGTAATGTGTAACGGTGTAAGTATTTTACATATTTTGAGATTCTTGGAATACAAAATCTTCTAGGCCACTTGAGTAAAAAACGATTCCCGACCCGAAATTGATCCGACCCGAATTGACCCGACCCGAACTCGATCCGAAGTGTTGACCCGATACCCGACCCGACCCGACCCGATTATCAATTGACCCGAACTCAACCCGAAACCCGAAATGACCCGACCCGATAACTTTTTGGCCCGAACTTGACCCGACCCGAAATGACCCGACCCATACCCTACCCGAATGACCCATTTTCCAGGTCTACTTTCTTTACAGGTAAGTAGTTTATTGCTCTCTCTTCATTGGATAAATTTCTTTAATAAGGATGACATTTCTCCATCTAACAATAGTACTAATTAGCAGATAAAGGAGCATTAACATAATGTTTGATCGTGTCATTTAGTGGAGATGAAGGGATTTTTTTTTTTTTTTTTTTTTTGTGTGTGTTTTGTGGAGGGGTTGCTAGGTTGGCTACCACACGCATCAAGTCGTATTTTAAGTTGTGTAGGTTTTGCCGGAAAAGCTGGCTTATTATAATGGCCATCCTCTACGGAATAGTTGTTAAATATTGTACTGTATTCAATATGACAATTACCATTCATTTTAAGCGGAATTGTTACTTTCAATTCAAAATTTCCCATCTATCAAGTGTTTCCTTATTATTAAAACAAAAGCTTACTTGATGTAGTATAGCTAAATACACCTCTCAATGCTAGGGTGCAATTAGAGTATTAGATCATACTTGTATTCTACTATTAGACTTGGTACAAATCTTATACGAAGTATAACTTATTAAATCAGAATACCTTATTATTAGTAAAGAAAGCATAAGTTAAAACATCTTGCCAATGCTGTCACTTATATACAGTGTACGGAAACAATTTTCAACTTTGCCCAAAAATAAAATAACATAAAACAACGCAATGCATAGTCCTTTGGCAAGTTCATACTTAATGCACCCTAATTATGAGGATTGCATCAATCTTTCCTATCTACATTCTACCGCTTCTTCCAACCTTCTTAACCCTCCCATTCTTACAAGTGCTATGCCCAATGCTCATACTATACATGAGGAAGCACATAGAATGGTACTGCCAGCATGTGAAATAAAACACGACTTCCTTGTGCATGCACAAGTTGTCTACAAACCAAATGGAGCACCGAGACAGTCTATCTAATAATAAGCCTGTTATTATGCCAAAACCTGAAAGAATAATGCTAGCTAGAGGCTATGATTCATTCCCTCTACACTCATAAAAGCAGAGTATGGAGTTGCAAGTTAGAGATTATTTCCAACACACGCCTCCAACAACTAGTATGTGCTCATATAAATAAGGAATGGCATGACATTGCTCCAGCACCAGCACCATAACAGAATAACAGCCACACAAATGTATCACATCAACTCTTGTCTTTAAAGCTCAAGTGTATTCCCTCAAGTAGAAAGGGGGGATATAGCAACTTCAGACGATAATTCATAAGGAAGAAAAACTAACACTCTTTGATATTTTCTTGTAAAAAATTATCCTATAGGCATCAGCTTATTAACTATGGATCAGAGTGTATTCTGAGAAATTATAATTCGGGAACCTTTTAAGTAATTCCCGAAAGATCTCGAACAGTTTGGCCAAAATACGGCCATGATCAGAACAAATAGCAGCTCTGAATTTGCCAAATACACTGAACAGGAATATCCCGTTGGCCTTTTATTAACCTCTGCGCAGGCAAGAAATATAAACTAATGAAACATAACAGAATGAGCTACAAAATTACAAAAACAGAAAAAGGCATCAAAACTAATACGCGCACATAACTTACAGCTTCATGAATTTTTATAATACAATGTCTCCATACTACCCATTGATCACTAACTTGATCTTAAGACATTCTTTATTCCTCAACAAAATTTCCCAAATTATAAAGTTTTCAATCCTAACAGTAAATTCCAACAAGTTTATTATCCCCAACATCAGAACATCACAAATTCCAATAGTTTCTACGGAGTATTAGCACATCAAAACCCCCAGTTTTGAACAATTTCATCACCCTTAATCATGCCAAACCAATTTGTATTACCTACATCCACTAGT